TTGTTCAGCAGGGCAGAAATTGAAAAGTGGGTAATACAGTCAGTTCTGCTGTCTCAGATATGTTCTTGGTCACAATCTTTCAGCAGAGTTTGTAATATTTTGCTCTCCTAGGCAAAGCATATTTCCTTTTGGCTGCAAGCAAAAGCTGGAAGTGAGCTGTGGGTCATTTTAGAATTAAATCCTTTCCTAAAACTTAATTTGTTATCTAGAGACCTAAGCAAGAAACAAAAAGCCTCTAAATGTTTCAGCAGTTGTTGGCTTCCCAAAGTTAATACTGAGTTCTCTCTGTCACAGGACAAGGAATTTTCTCCTAGTACATATATACATCTGTAAGCCAGTCACATATGAAAACAATAACTAAGGAATAAGGAAAAAGTCCATAAGGAAATTTATATATAGCTGCTATTAAACTGGAGGAAAACAAATGATCTGTTGGGCTCAGTTTCGCTGGGAAATCAATTTGAGCAGAGTTTTATTGTCGTCCCTGCTCGGTCCTTCGTGTTATTTGCTTGCACCTTTAAGAACCATGACTGAGAAGGTTTTGACACTTGCGAGTGTGAGCTCCCTGGATCATTGTGTTTGTTACCTTTTCATCATCCACATTCCCAGTTGTCACAAATGCTACCTAACAACACTGAGCACTCAAAGTACATTTCCCCTTGTAACTCTGGGGAGTTTTGAATGCTCATATTAACTGCTTGAAGCAGTTGGACTGTAGCACCAGATAAATACTTGTATGAAAACACCTCTATATGCTTTGCACGTGACTACTGAGACCAAATCTCTTCATGTATGGCCACACAAGCCTAAATTTAATTATAAAAAAACACAGCTCTTATTCAAGTGAAGAAGTTAAGAGTACTAATATATTAATCAAAATAAAAATGTAAATACATAGCGGCAAATGAGACATGGGATTAATTTAAAAAATCACTGACACAGCATTTATTCATCTTCTTAGTCTAAAAAAGTACTCTCCTTAAGTTTTACCTTTAAATGCCTTTTTCCTAAGTGATAAACTAACTTTTATATTGCTATTGATACTTTAATATAATTTTTAAAACTCAGTTAATCCTAAAAAGCTTGATAATGTATTATTGTTTGCTAACCCATAGTGCAAACTTTTTTTTGTTGGTGGGAGATGCAAACATTTAAAATATTTGTTCTCACATTCTATTCTTGCACAGTCTAATTGTCTGTTAATTTAAAATAGAAAAATCATGGAACTTCAGTGAAAAAATGACTATTCTAATTATTAAGTACTTCTGTTCCTTTTTGTAGCCTGATTTTGAATTCAGTTTCATCCTGTTGTAGTTATTTAAATCTTTTCAGGAAACAGGAAGCTTCTGGTTCTCTCTTTCTTGTAGAGAAGACTAAAGAGTATGTGCATTGCTGCACATTGTGATGCCTTTGCTGTTTCATGGTTTATAATGTTAACTTTATGTTTTTTCTCTTTGCTGGATTTTCAGACTCTTCCAATTAAATAATAAAATATAATATTGTATTTACAATATTGGTACAATACTGGTGTTACAAAATGTAAATTAAGGCTGACTTCTGCTTGGACACTACTTAGAACACAGTTTAAGTTTTACATTGTATTCTGGGGATGCATACAAAAAGAAATTAATCTAAAGGTCAAAATCTCAAGTTATTCCTCCCAACTGTACTGGTTTAAAAGTTAACCAGCAGGGAAAATGAACTCAACTCAAAAGAGAGATTATAAATCAGAATAACAATTTAATAAAATAATACAATAAGTACGATTATACAGACAAACAATTGGTCTTAACCCACAAAACCCAAATGTATAACCCAGCACTCTGGGGCATGAACAACGTGGTGTTCCTTGGGCCCCCTCTGAGTCCAAAGTAAAGGGAGAGGGGAAAAAAAACCTGCTGGTGGGAGAGCTGTTGCAGTCTGGTCAAAAGTGGTAATTGCAGTCCAGTTGAGGGTGGTGGTCTCAGTCTGGTTGAGAGCAGTGAGCTGCAGTCTTCCTTTGGATCCCATGAGTGGTAAAAAGGTTCCAAAACTCCAAGTTATATATTCTCCAGTTCAGGCAGGAATGCTCAGTCCTTCCCTCAGAGCGGGGAAATTCCATAAAAGGGTGTGAGGACAGGAACATCTTCCTATCTCGCAGGCCTCTTAACGCCTAGTTTATAGCCTGAGGAGTCAGGCTGCTCTTGGCAGAGGGTGTAAATGCTCTATTGATAACAGTTTCTGGGAAATGGCATGGAAGGCTATAGAATACACAGTTTTGGGTTATACCCATCCAGTGATGAATTGGTCCCAGCTGTTCTAACTAGGACACCAACTGCACCTCAGCCTTGGGCTGGGACCATAAAGCAGGTTACCTTAAGTCTTACTGTATCTTAAATCCATTGATTTAAACTCCAAGTCATCGTTTGAAATCCATTGGAACTTGGAAATCATCTGAACAAGATATTTTCTTCAGTTGATTTCAAGACTTCCAACACTTTTCAAAGCCACCTATCTAACAGGTATAGCAGAAAAAAAAAACATTGCATTAAGATTTAAAATTTTGACACTCCAGCTTCTCACAGACCAGCAAAGAAAGGTTATACCAGGTTCTGTACTGGTAATTTTTTTCATTTAATCTTATTTTGGTGTGGGATTAAAGGTGTCGGAAACGTTGTGTTCCTGTGATTATTCATCTCCCCTCCATTTGCCCATGTATCTCTTCCAGGCACTCTGTACAATTTTTAAGCAGCTTTGGGAGCCCTGGGGATTAGAAAAGGTATATGAATGTTTTATAATGTTATTGATAACTGTGCAGCAGATGCTTTTCTAATAGACTGCTGTGAGATAAGTTACTGGTAGCATCTGCAGAGATGTGTGCAAAGGAGCTCAAAATAATTAATACTGTGTTAGAAGAAAGCTTTTTTTAAAGCATATCTGTATTAGAGCATGTAAGATTGTTTCAGCCTTCCATGAGAATCTGTTACAGCACAAATTACCCGGATTTATTGGGGGAAAAGCCATTTCTGTTAATCACAGATTAATTATTCATAAAATCAGTATTAATGTTACCTTAATGGGAAGTGTTACCAGCTGGGGTACTGAGCTTGGAGATCTATTCACATATTAAAAAAAAGATTAATAGCTTGACTTAAAAAAAGACATAAAAATGACTTATGAGAGTATAAAAACAGCAAGTATGAGTATACAAGTTATAGAGCTGGTTACAGTAGAGAAGTTCAGCCTTCTAAGCACTTTGTGTTTTGGCTCTAGCACTGGTTTGTGCTAAAGTGGAATTCAAGTGGAATTACTGAAGGATGTTAATTGCAAACAAGTCCTGTATCCTTTCCCCTAATGCTTTTCAGCTCTTCACCAACATATATCTGAGTAAAATAGAGTCTTTCCCATTCTTGAAATAAATAAACCTCATTAAAAAAAAATCCAGCAACAGATTTTAGTAATTTAACTTCAGGATAAATTCTTCCTACTGGGGAAAAAAACCCTAAAAAACCCAAAAAAAGAACTTTTTAATATTTTCAAAAAGCTATTGTGAAACATCTAAATTATGAAAATGCTGCTCAGAGCATGTGTTCAACCCAAAATGAACTCAATTAAAGGAGGATGTCAACATTCAGATTATGACTCAGGACTTAAAGGTATATTTTCATGGAAGTTTAGCAAAATCACAAGCAGAATGAATTTTCTAAAATTTATTTTATTTAAAACTTGTTGGGGGTTTTGGGGTTTTTTTTAGTTTGGTTTGGTTTGGTTTGGTTTTTTATTTGTTTGGGTTTGGTTTTTTGGTTGTTTTTTTCCTGGCTATTGAAAGTTCTCTTGCAGAAATAAAAATCCAAACAGAAAGAGCACTGCCTAAAGAATGAAAATATGTAATGCCTGTAAAGTACAGCTAGTTTTATGTGAACGGTAAAAACTTTATAGGATTCAGCTGATATTAAATTGTTTAGATCAGCTCTAGAGCTTTTTTATTAGGATGGCAAAATGTTGAACTTATAAACACATTTTCTTTACGTGTTAAGATAAAAGACCATTTATTAGTAAAGATTTTTTTTTAATGACAATTACAACCTTCAGTGTGTGATCTGTAAGATAAAATCTGATGAATTTTGGCTAAAGCCATGGGAGAGAAGCATTTGGAGTGGGAAGCCAACCCAAAAGAAATAGGAAAAAAATAATTTTAAAAAATTGCATGGCTCTCAGTGAGTCCACGAAACCTAGGCCTGGTCTTGGAACAAGGCACAGAGCTGGGTGGTCTAAAACTGAACTGATGTTCAAGAATCTTAGGTAATTATGATTGTGTGTGTATGTCTCATTGATATTATTTCCAAGTTATGGGTGAGTCTGTGGCATGCAATCAGTTGTAATGCCTAACTCTGATCAATGCATATAAAAAATTAGGTTCTTTTGTAGTTTAATTTTGTGTTTCTTTCATTCAAATTTCAGTTTCAAAGAAATGTGGTGAAGGAGAAGTGTACACGGGAGCAGTTCTTCTGTGGAAAGCTCATCAAGTAATGTTACAAATGTTATTCTGCAGTAAGCTGATGGTTATTACTGACCATGGCTACCAGCTCCTTGTGCATAATGCATCCCAGCGCTGGTTTACACTTGCACATGAAAATGTTATCAGAGTTCTGCAGTCTGGTAACGGTAATACTTCAGAATTACAAAGAATAGGTAGTACTGCTATTTTGTTCTCTGTTTTAGTGTATGGAATATATTTCATTGCTTACCCTGTAGTAGCAGATCAGAACTATCTGCAGTGTTGCCTTCAGTGCTTCGGTCTAACAGAGAATCTCCGTTCATTATCCACGAGGCCAGTCTGCTCCCAGACGTGTACCAGGAGTAATCCAGCTGCTGGATGTTGATACGAGTCCAGACTTGTATCCAAACTTTGCTCAGGAGTCTGTTAAATGGAAACCATGCTCTTTGCCAAGAATTGGAACTGAGATAAACTCAATTTGCTTTTCTCTCTCCTCTCCTCCTCCCCCCCTTCCCCTCTGCAGCTCCGTCCCCCATCACAGTCATAAGGAAAGACAGAACATCCAGGAACAGCGTGTCTCTCTCTTGGCAAGAACCTGAACATCCAAATGGGATCATCTTGGACTATGAGGTCAAATACTATGAAAAGGTGGGAAGAAAGATCAAAGGGGAGGCTTTTGTCTTGAAGATACTTACTGAAATTATTGCATCTTGTCTGTGTTAAGGACTCAGAAACACCCCCATTGTCTCACTGTCCTCCTCAAACTCATTAAGTGTTGAAACTGTTCAATTTTTGGTAATGAGAACATTGAAATTGTTGTGTTGTCTACCAAATTCATCCCCAAGCACATCAGAACAAACAAAGGAAATAACACACTCAGTTCCTTTGTTTTCTTTCTTTCTTGAGTACATTTTGCTTCCTCAGTTCTATTGTGCTGTAAGTGTTCACACTGATCTATCAGCACCCCTGTGCTGGTGCTTCCCTGTGGCACAAACAACTTTTGTTGTTTGGAAAATGATGGCTTGTCTTTTGGGCTGGTTTTCACCATGAAAGTCCACACTCTTCATTAATAACTGAATTCTTCACAAATTGTAAGTAAGTAAATAAAATGAAAGAATCTGCCATTAAATAGGTTCTGTTTTTTACTGACATTTTCTTGTATAAATCGACAGAAGTTTATTTGTGCATCCTGTATAGATCTGTATTTAGGAAAACATATCTTCATAATAGAATGTTTCTTTTAGTAAATCTTACTGGTAGAATTGGAAAACCATATATTGTCGTGAAGAGTGGAATTAGCCATTTTTTGGTAGATCAGAGAGACCTTTTGACAGAAACATATTGCTACTGAAGTTAACAAACTGAAAAAAATGTCAGAATTAGTGGTTTAATTGAGCATTTCCTAATGCTCTTCATATCTAGTAATCAGGCTTATATTTGATAAGTACAAGAGAAGATGTAGGGCTGATACCCTCTTAGAAAATGGTGATAAAAATACTCCATGACTATTCAGTTAATCTACAGAAAGTTTTCTCTCAGAGCTTACTAGGGGGGCAATGTGGCATTAATAGTCCACACTTGATCTTGAAGAATGATGATCAGAAGGTCGTATGCTGAAAAATTTCACCCAAATTTATGGAATATGATTTTGGGAGGAGTTTTTTCTGGTGAGCACTTCAACCTTCAAAGACCTTGGTAAAAATCTAAACATACACAGTGTTAGAGATAAAAGGAGAAAAAGAAAACTTCCTAAATATTTCAGCTCAGTCTTATCTCAGAGAGCAGCACCCTGTGGACTTTTACTTATATTTTTCAGTTTCAATGGGGGTAGGATCAAGTCCAGATCCAGGGCTTGAGAAATCAAGGAGAATCAGCTCGTACTTCTTCCCCAGCTTTATATGCTCAGCATGGTGCCATATAGTGTGGGATATCCCTGTGTTCAGTTAGAATCAGCTGTCCTGTCTGTGTCCCTTCCCAAATTCCTGTGCACCCCAAGCCTCCTCCCTGGTAGGGTGGTGTAACAAGCAGAAAAGGCCTTGACACTGTGTAAGCACTGCTCAGCAAGAACAAAAACATCTTTATATTATCAAACCTGTCTGTTTCCAGTGCAAATCCAAAAACTACCTACTAACTTCTCTGAAGAAAATTAATTCTACCCCAGCCAAAAACAGCACAGGTGATTTCTTGTGGCCTAGTTGCTCCAAAGGGAGAGATTTTTTCCCCCACTGTGTGAATTCAGTTTATTTTAATTAAATCACCAATAAGTTTTATTTGTGTGTTTGTTGATTTTGGATGTTTTGATCATTATTCTGCACTGAAATTGGGGGTTTCTGTTCAAGAAAATTGTCCCCTTCCAGCGCTGTTGTGTGCACAGACAGAGCATGAAGCTATTCCCACCGGCTGTGTCCACTCTTATGGAACAACTGCTTGTCATAAGACAGCTTTATAAGACAACCAACCAGTCTTAGGAAGCTGATCTTGCACATGTGTTTCTTCCCTTTGAAGTCTGTAATCAGGAGTTCATATGCACCAGACAGTTTTCTTAAACCAGAGAGAGCCAACTGCTTGACAAAAGGAGCCAGACCATTTAGAGCAAATAGGCTTTTAAAAAACCAACCTTCTGGCACCAGTGTTTTTTAATGTGTGTTCTGCAGTCTGCTGGGGAGTCAGAAGCCTATTTCTCAGGGTTTATGAGGAAAAAAAGGCAAATCTATTGTCAGGAGACTTTAATCTATTGTTCTTTTAAGCTTTGCAAATTATAATAGGTATAAAACTAATGCTCTGTTAAATTTACTTGAGGCCAGAGAAGCCTGTGCTGGACTGTTACTATTCATTCCTTCCCCAAACACCTTTGGAAGATGATGCTTTTTAATCTGAAATCTCTAAGCATGCCTTCTTCACTCTTTTTTTTTGAAAAGAGATCTTGCTTTATAAACCAGTCCAGTCTATTTGCTTTTCTGCTTCAGAAATAATCTTGGTTGTGCTCATCAGAAACTGCACTGCTGTAAAGTCACTTCTGATTGCTGGTAGATGATTGATGTGGACCAATTTTTTCCATCCTGCTTGTTTTTAGTTGACATACCTTTTGTAATCTCTTAGAAATTAAATGATAGAGCATTTAATAGAGTAATACAGGTCAGCCCAATTCTGTCATACACCTTGTTTGTGAAATTATTTTGCTATTCTGTTCTTAAATTTCAAAGAATATGTGATATTTATGGACAACTGCATGTTACTGGTATTTAAGATGTTAGAATAAATTTGGAATAAGAGTAGAATGTCATGTATCTAAATTATGATGCTGTGTAGTTTTTCTAATGCATTATTCACATAAAATATGTGGAAAATATTTATTTTCTGCAGGGAGAACTAAATAAACCATTCAGTGGGTTTTTTCATCAATGACTGCACTTGTGTAGCTGAGAGAGTAGAGCTTTATATGTTTGTAGGGAGATTAGAAACTACAGTTTTGGAAAACTATTTTAACTTTTAGGAATGAATCAAAGTGGTTTGGGGTGGAAGGGTCCTTAAAGACCACCTAGTTCCAAGTCCCTGCTCTAGGCAGGGCCACTTTCCACTAGACCATGTTACCTAAAGCCTCATCCAACCTGGCCTTAAACACTTCACAGAATTATGAGCTGAGAGTGGCAGTTTTTTGGACTCAGTGTTTGAAATAGAATTGTGTTTTTTGTAAATCTTCAGAGGCCAATTATAAAGCCCCAGTCACTATTTATTCAAAACATTTAAAAGAAATAAAATCTTCTTTCAGGGAGATACAGTATGGAACGTCTAGGCATTTGTTTTAGGGTAAGAGATAACATTTTATTAGAAGTTAATGGTGCTAAATGACACCCCAGTTTAGTCCATCCATACAATGCTGTGCTGAATTCTAAGTGTCTGGGTTATTAAAGCGCACAAATAACAAAGCCATGGTTTTTTTCTTACACAAGCCATATACTTTGTTCCTTCCTTGTCCTTGTTCACATAATTATGTTCTCTTGAAGGAGTATCTTGTCATGCAAAGATACAGAAAAAAGCCATCTCCTAAATACCACTCATAAACTATTAATTGTTTCAATTAAATATACTCCTTACAATTATACCAACTAAATCCCACACACTTTATTAAGGTGAAGTCTTCTGCAAGCAGTGAGTGATATTTAGTTGCAGTCTCTCATAGCTAAAAGAGATTTGCTTTTGCCATCATAGAAATTATGTGCTCAGTAGACTGGTTAAAACCAACACATAACTGTGCACTTTGTGCTCTTTCTGAGGCTGATTAAATAAATTATATGCAAATGCACTTTGTTGCTTTTAGAGTAGGTAGGCCATGTATGCTCCATGAGATTGGTAGGAAATGTTATATCAATGAAGATTTCACATCTGGCAATAAGGGAAGCAGTATCAGGACTGTGGATCCCTCCCAAAGATGTGTAGTCAGGTACTGGCCTCTTAAGTACATGAAGCTGATGGAACAAAATGTTATATAATATAAGCACTTCCTGTGCTTATCTGAAAAAAGGACATACCAATCACTAGTATTGCCACTATAAATTTAAAATGTCTTCAAAATATGTCTTTTATAAAACATTATAAAATGTCATTTGCAAATGAGACACCAACAGTAGTGGGGTTTGCTTCCCAGTAAAGATTGTGTCTGGTAAACTATGCAGAAACATTCAGGAAGAATATGCTTTGTGCATCCAAGTTCAAATTTATCATCAGAGTGTTTGATTGAAGTTCTGCCTTGCAAAGCCTGACTCTCCTTTTTGTGTATCCCCTCTGCTTATGGCAGCTGTAGTGCTGTATCTCTGAAGTTTTACTTTATCCCCAAGAAAGATAAACTCGGGCTTTTATGTGGTGTTTCACTGATTTGATTACGAGTAACATAAAAAATGACTTACAAAATATGTGTGTAAAAAGCTTCCCATAAACTGAGATACCATGACATCCTCCATACCATTGTTTTAAAAGTTTATTTTCCAAGTTCCATTGAGGATTATTAACAGACAGGGCCATGACTATATTTTCCCTTGCACATTTGTATCTGCACCAGAAAGAAATGTTTGCATTTCAGAAAAGCGGCCTGACGCAAGATCAAAATGAATGTCCAGTCATAGCATACACAAAAGATTTTGTGTTTTAAAGACAAGATTATTATGTCTTTGAAATTAAAATAGTGGCCTACATTCAACTGAATGATGAGATAAGGGAAGCCTGCAAATTATAATACTAGGCCTTTGTTAGTTCAAAAAATAACTAATTTTACTCAAGCCTGTTAGTTCTTTAGAATGTCTTCCTGTAAATTTTCTCCCCTGAATTTATAACAGAAAACTTTTTAGAGAAGTACTGGGAAACTCTGAGGAGGTCTAATGCTGATTTCCTTTTTATTTTTAGTGTGCAAAGAAAATGGCCATGATAAACACTTTTACAGTCATTCTTTGAAGACTAGGTCTATCTCACCCTATCTGAGGTTTTGATTCTGGGTGTTAGTTTTTAGGCACAAGCTTAGCTGCTTGTTTGGTTTCTTTTTTTTGTTTTCCTTTTTTCCTTTCACTGTGATTTCTCATGTGCATAATGTTGAATATTACATGGAGATTCTGGCGATCTCCTTAACAATGGTGTAAATGTTTCTGTTTCTCTGTATCAAAGATTGCCAAGAACAGAGTACTGAGGCTTCTTTAGCACCAAAGTGAACAGTTTCTGACGTCCGCCTACTAACTTAGAATATCCCAACTTTATTACTGTAGACAGCACTGCAGAGTAAACACACTAAAACAACTCCAGTCACTTGAACTTTACACATGAAGGTGAAATGGCTTTGGCAAGGAGTGTGTAGAGTATTTTCCGGCCTCTGTACTTGTGTACGGGCACTCCAGTGTTGTCAAAGTTAAAATATCAGACCCTCACAAGTCAATGCAATGCCACAAAAAAAACCAGTGGGAATTAGGTGAGATTCTTTGCATCCGACAGGCCTTAACTCAGTTTCTGTTTTCAAACAGGCAAAACTCAATGGGTTCAGTGTTTTGCAGAGTGTTCAAAGCAAAAGGACAGTATCTGAAATCCCCACCACCTCCAGAATAAAAAAGCTCATGGTGGGGAACCTAAACAATTGAGATTCTCACAGCTTCCCACATGTGTGGCTGCTGTCCAAGATTTTTTTTGAGACAGTTCCAGCTGCCGTATTGAGGAAGCCAAAAATATTCTTTTGGTACAGGATGGCTTTAGTAAAATAAGCAATACCTCAGGCTCCAAATGCATGCTTAAATTTTAAGATTATGTGCTTACAGTGGGGCTGAGGCACACTTTTATGAGAATTAGCTTTTTACACAGTGTGAAGTGTATCCAAATGTACTAAATTACAAGATAGTCCTCTTCTTACTTTATATAAAAAGTCATTATGTCAGAAAATAGGTAACATTTAGGCAAAGTGTGGTTGTGAGTGTGGTCCAGGAGAGAGTTCAGGGAGTTTTTGCCCAAATGAGGATGAACATGTCAATCTTATAGCTTTTATAGCATAATAGAAAACCAGTTAAATTCACCTTTTCACTGAGCTGAGGACCCTGAGTGGAGTTTCTCTTCTGACTGTTATGAAGGTAACCACTTGTCTTGTAAAATGCAAGGCAGTAAAAACTGTATCCTGCAAACATCTCTGCAGGGCCCTAAAATGTCCAAGTTGACCTGTTACAACTTCCAGTTCAGTGCATTAGGCAAATCTGACTTACATTTTTTAAATAACGTTCCTAATAATTTTCTTGTTGTATTACAGACTATTACAAAATTATGCAAAGCCATTTAATAAAATGTCATATTCTCAGTGTGTCTAGTATTCAATATATAGCATAAGGCCATAGAAAATCTAATGATTTAGACTTCTTGCTAAGAGGTGATTGAAAATGAATGCTTGTACAAGCATTTGTCAGGCTATAAACATTCAAAAATATCCAGTTCTCCCCAGGTACTAATTTAGTGTCTACCACCTCTTGTTTCTGTTTTTTAGGGTGTGGTTTTAATATGATAATTTCTCTTTTCAAAAGCAGGAACAAGAGACAAGCTATACCATTCTGAGAGCCAAAGGCACCAATGTTACCATCAGCGGCCTCAAACCTGATACCACCTATGTCTTCCAAATCCGAGCCCGAACTGCAGCTGGATATGGGACAAACAGCCGCAAGTTTGAATTTGAAACCAGTCCAGATTGTATGTATTTGTTCAAATGGTCCATACTGACATCCTGCCAGGTTTATGAGTGATTTGAATGGCTACTTTCACTCCTTTTCTAGTTTAGGAAATATGTCTCATAACTATTTAGGATATGTCTTTCTTGGTACTATTACTGTATAAGTTTATATTTTATCATTAAACCTGAAACATGCTATAAAGAGTAAACCATAACTATCACAGGTGGTATTTTCTTCCATTTCCTACCCTAATTCTACCTCATGCCAGAATCGATACCTTGCTAGACCATGGCTCTTGTTGAGAGAGGAACTTCGAGAGAAAAACAGGTTCACAGCGTCACACTGTTCCAAATTTGTGGCCTGAACCCTAGGGACTATAGACCTCTGCTCCTGGAGAATTGATATTATATGGGTCCTTTGCTCCTGGGTAATTCTCGTGTTACTGCAGATTGCTGATGCCTCTGTGTAGCCTTGAGACGAAACATGTGCACAGGCTGGGAAGGATGGTCACTCAGTTGAGTTACTGGTCAGGAAGTTGAGCTGTTTGGGTCCCTTCTCTCTGTCACTGCATTTCTGGGTGGTCCTGGGTAGTTATTTAACAGCCTGGCACTCCTTTTTCTTTTCTCTAATACGTAGATAATAATATTACTTAACTGATGACCTTATAGGTGTTCTTTACAAGTTTGGTTATTGTATCAGAAAGGCTCTTAATAGAGTTCATAGTCTTAAATGTTGCTTTCTCATCACTGATACAGTTCATCAGACCTTCTCTTTGCTAGAAGTTGGAAGTGGCTTAATGCATCAAAAATCAGCCTTTGCTGAGGTGCCCATTTACTGATACAGACTGATGATGAATAATCAAAGACTTTTTGCTTTGTGGAAGGTCAGTCTTTCACTAAAGGCTCATGTCTGCTGCTCAGATTTATAACACAACTGAGGACTATAATTCTGATACATTCTCATAAGGCTTATTCATGTACTCATGATAAGGCTTGAGAACTCATGGTCTAAGGAGTGTTCTGCTAAAAGCAACACATTCTACCAAGAAGAGTAGCATCAAGTCAAATGGTCTTTCGCTTGGCTTACATGTGGTTTTTGAGATAGGTTATGTATCTCATTCCCATTTCTTCCACCTCAGCTCTTATTCTGAAAAGCAAACAAGCTTCATGTTTAAAAAGCAGTTACAAATTGCTGTTGTGATGACTAGAAACTTTGGCATTCTAGTTGAAAGTAGAACGCAAGATAGGACAAACGATTACAGCAAGGAGAAAGAAATCAGTTGCAGAGATGAAAAATTTATCCACTTAGAGTTTAATGGGTTTTCTCTGCAAAGTAATGTAACAGAAAATAAGAAAAAAAAGAAAAAAGGAGAAAAAATGTGAAAGGTGACAGGAGGCAAGGGTGCACATCTCAAGTTACACATTTGAACAACAAATTGAATAACTTTGTTCCTGTTGCCAAGTTATAACTGAGTGCAGTTTTGGGTCTGTAACAGGCAGAGGTTAGGAATGCTGTGACTCCAATCAGGCATGTACAGGGCAGAAAATAGCCCTTATTTTTCCTGTAGCCATGGATTACCCATCGATAGTCCTTCTATCTGCTTCTGCATGCCCGTGCTTTACACAACCTTCATGTGGATATTGCCAAGGTTAACTGGGAAACTTAACTCCTTAAAACCCTTTCCATCACACAGAAAAGGAAAGTAAGGGTGATGATTATTGACTGGCTGGGATTTCTTGCCAAGGAGAAATTCCTTCTGACCATGGCAAAATATATGTACGTCACAGCACGTGTGTTTGTAGTTGTGTATATGTGTATGTATAAATATCAGTTTACCAGCAGTTGCTACAGTCAGCAAGTAAAAATCAACAGTAGCAGAAACAACTTTGGTACATTGTCAAAGGTGGCCAGAGCCTTATATTTTCTTCCCTTGTATTTATTTGTTTGATGAAAAATTATGTAGCAAATTAAATATCTGTCAGGACACCAAATGCTATAGAGTGATGACTTAACCTGTCTGTTCCCTATATACATGTCAATTGTGGTGTAATCACTGCTGTGTGTGTGTAAGGTTATTTATATATATTTTTGTGTTAACTTTCCAGCATTCTCCATTTCCAGTGAGAACAGCCAGGTGGTAATGATTGCCATTTCAGCAGCAGTAGCCATTATTCTACTCACAGTTGTGGTGTACATCTTGATTGGGAGGTTAGTTTTTTGTCTGATCTGCACATTTTCTCCCTCTTCCATTTCTCTGAGGGGCTTTGATGAGCGGGCGGGTTGGGTGTCGTCCTGGTTTGCAACCTTTTCCTTTGTCTGCTGCCCAGGAGCTCCAAATCCTGCTTCATAGTTGGTAACGAGCCCTCTAACATCAGCAGCCCCAATCACACAGCAGTTGTTAAAAAAATGCTATAAACACATTCTTAGGCAATTGTAAAATTAAACTGTAGGGGTCAAAAATCAACAAATCCTCTCATTAGCCAATTTCCTCAAATTCCCCCAGAACATCACATGCCTCTATAGAGCACAGAGAATGTAAATATCATTAAACTTTCAAACAGGCATTTAATTGTGGAGGGAAAACATTTTATTCTGTTTCCACCTGCAGTTAACACGTAAAATTCTCTATATTACTTTTTTTTTTCTGTTATTTGTAGATTCTGTGGATACAAGAAGTCCAAACATGGCACTGATGAGAAAAGACTGCATTTTGGGAATGGCCATTGTAAGTTACTGAAGCCTTTTAATGCCTCCAGATCTGTTGAATTCATCCCCTAAATAACTGGTGTTTTTCAATTTAAAAAAAAAAAAGAGTCATGCCTCACTTAAACTAAGGTGAAATTAGAAGAGAATTATCTCTTTTCTTGTGGGTAAAGAGATTTTCCCCAAACAATTATTCTTTGTTTCAAATTCTTTTATCTGTGTTCAGGTTAGCAATGAGCAAAACATCACTGTCTATGTTCAAACAATACATGTGATATTGATTGTGCTGTGCATCACTGAAGGGCAGAGTGTAACTGCAACTTCCTCATTATCAGCTTTATAAAGTCTAAGAAATATTTTTTTCCTCTCCAAAGTAAAATATAAAATTAATTTAAAACTGTCTTGACCACTGAAGGGACTGTGAAAATTGTTTGCTTGACAAAGTTGACCCACTAATAATTTAGTTTGGAATTATTCTAAACATATGGAGTGATACAGATTAGCTTCTTAAATTAAGAATAATTGCTAAGCAAGTGTCTCGAATTAATGGGATTTTTTTAAATCCAGCTCTGTTTACAAACGTGTTTTGTTCAAGTCCTGATTCCCCACTGGCAAGAATGAATATGTCTGTGCTTTTATTGGGTCTCATCCAGGACTAAAAGAGCCTTTCCACTGACTTATGTTGTCTTTGCATCACAAAAGTCGAACCCAAAGCCTATCTATTTTGATGTTTATGTACCTATTTTTAATAAAGCTAAATGGGGCTTAATTCATGGCTGCTCTGGGTCGTTCAGCAATGCCCTGTGAAAGGAAAAGTGTGGACCAACATCACATCCAGGAGATGCTCAGGGGAAGAAGCTCCATCCATACTCTCTTTCAAATAGAAAGAAATTAGTTTTGAAGCGGGAGAAGCTGAGGGGAAAATAAGTTGATAGCTTAATTCCTGATCAAGAGTAAGGGGGGATTTCTTGGGGTTTTTTAATAGCTGCATTTTGGACTTTTTCATCTTTACAGGCAAAGATAACGCCCTTCATAGACACCAAGACCCAGAAATTCCTTTTTTGGGTGTCTAATGAGCATGGGCTTAATAAGAAGCAGTAGTTTGTCTTTGAAACAGTTTCAGCTATGAATGTCCTGCTAAACCATGGAAACTATGTTGAACCATATATTTCTATTGCTTAGCGTGTTGTAAGGTGAATGTACTTGAGGGTTTTTTTGCGCACAACAGTGGTGCTGTACCATCTGCAAGAAATGGTACATAATCAGGTGCCTCCTCACCAAATATAATTGAATCAACATTTTAATGAGGGATTTACCTGCAGCAGTGGGAAATTAGAACTGCTTCCAAATCCTCATGACAATGGCATGACTGTTCTCTGACTGTTCGAGTTATTACTGCTGTAAGTTTGGAGCCCATCCTTGTCTCCAGGGAGCCATGACCATGAATATCCACAACATGTGTCTCCTTCCCCAGCACTGTCAGGGGATACTGAAGCTGGAACAGTGGATTTGCTTCATCAAGCCCAACCAACTATTCTCAAAAAAAAAAAAAAATCTATAGGGTTACATGTGGCCCCATAGAATTAATGCTTCATCATCCAAATTTAATGAGGTTATAAAATAAAAGCAGCCAGTAAAATAAGTGTCACAGACAAATAACAGGTCAGAATTTGCTCTTTTTACTCCCACACAATGGAAAGTTGCAATCACTATTCTTAAACATGTCAGTACTGTTAAATTCCTGTGGATTAAATTGCTTTTAATTTGGTTTTAGATATTTATGTACTGTTTTCTGAGCAGTGCCATGCTGATTCACTGTGTAGTAAGAACAAAGCCAGTTATGGACCTGATATTTCTCTTAGAAGTTCTTGAAAATTATATATTATAAACCTTGCAGATATTTATCTGTTAGAATTTGTATGTATGTACGTGTGTGGCTGTTGAAGCTTTAATCTACCAAATTGCAGTCTTTCCCAAAGAATAAGAAAATTGCTCCTATGAGCTAAAAGAGGATAAACCAACTTCCATGGCTGTCGTAAACTTTCAGCATCTTAAATGCAGCAGCTGGTTTATTTCAGTCAGTTTATTCTGAATTACTTTTAAAAAGGCTCCAGCCATGAACTATTCCCTGCAGCATTATTACAAATCCTATAATATCACTTCAAAGGAACGAAAACGTTTCACCTCCTCAGATCCTCTCCCTTTGCCTTCTTTGGCTGGGCCCTTTTTATTTTTTTGCTACCTTTAGGGCAATTCATGCTGTTAAAATGAAAATGTAAATTATTATGTTTGCACAGAATGAGCTGTAAAGTAGTAGAGCTTAACACATGTGCACGTGTTTATTATCTATATTTCATGACAGAACCCAGTTACTATGCAGCCTGCCCTTAATTATTGGTGTGAAGGGATTATTCTCCTTGCAGTCACCATCACCTGATCTTGGGAACCTCTGGGGTCAGCATTAAAAATCTGAAGCCAAAAACCCCACGGACTTTTAATTGTTATTTTTATTGGGGGTATGAGGGAGCCTGTAATATACATTCAGCATGGAAGGAAAGGAGCATTTACAAGATCTTTAACCAACAGCAATATACAGCCAATTACTTTTTGTTTTACTTGCAAGTAATTCTGTAATCATCAGGCTCTTGAAGGAAACACAGTCGGCATTTAAGGCCGTGCACACCCAGCCCTTGTGTTCAGAACATGGCTCTTTGCATTGTTTGCAAGGCAATTAGCTTGGGAACTCAGTTTTGTCATTTCTTTGTCAATTCTGAGGCCAATAAATCTCCATAAAATTGATTTTTTTTTTCACTAGGGATTGTTTGACAAAACAATTGTGTGCTCTAACTAATGGTCCAAAGGTATTTTTTTCCCATCTGTGTAATCCCAGCAAAAAAGATTTAACTATTCTAGAAAGAAGCTTTTAACTATTCTGCAATGAAGGTTTTAACTATTCTAGCTGTCAAAATTGATGCAGTACCATAATGCCAAGCTGTAAAGGATACTCCTGAGTGGGTTAAAGCGGTGTTTATAAGAGGAGTTAATATCCTTTATGAGACCAACTGGTATAGTTAGGAAAAGCTAGAATACACGTCGAGGAACGTAGGTTTTGTGTGAGAAGCAGAAAACTTCAAGCTGGTTATTTCACTTTTTGTTCATAAAATATATTTTTGTTATAAAATGAATACAGAGGCAGGCACACAAGGCACTGGGTACAAACACAAGCAGTGCTATGAGCCAGGAGGAGGGAATGAGGTTGTGCTTTGCCTTCAGCATCTTTGCTGGAGGCAAAGTTTGGGAATGGTCTCTTCCTCTCTAGTCCTGCTGGAGGAAGAGATGTGGAGAGTTTGAAACTGCCCTTAAAATCATTCAGTCGTTTGAAGTAGCACTTGCCCTGGGCAAACAAACAATCCCTGGCCAGGAAACTGTAGAGGAGGACAAAATAAGAACATGGATGTTTGGGCAACTGAGGACTGGGGGGGAAAGCGGCAGGTCCGCCGAGCCCCTGGAGCTTGAGGAGCTTGAGGAGCTTGAAATATTAAACGGTATAAAGCCTTTCCCATGAGAACAGTGAGGCTAATTAAACGTTCCCATGGACACAGCAACCTGGAGTATTAGGGAGTTGGCTAGAAGATGATAAGCAGTACAAGGACAGGCCTGTTGACTGTGTTTCAGGGTGCAGGTGTGAATTCCTGAGTGTTTTTGTAAAAATATATTTACAGTAAGCGTGTGGGAAAGTCGGGGCCAGCTACCTCAATAAAGCTGCCTGCTGCGCTTAGCCAGCAGACACCCTTGTCTCATCTCTCTCTTCGTGTGCGTGTGTCTACTTTCTCTACGGACCAAAACCTAACGATACGACAGATACCTTGCGACAGAGGACTAGAACCAGTTTTTATTAAGAACAACTCTCTGACATCCTTATATGTACTGGCAGAGAGACTGAGTCGGGGGTTTTTTTTCATGTTTCATGTTTTTAGTTTTTTTTCTTGTTGGAGGACTTGGAAAGAAAAAGTTTGAGTTAATATGGGCTCTTCTTAGTATAGTCATAAGAACTTCTCAGGTTGGCTGTAGCAACACGTTTTGTTATTTGCCCTCCTGTCATTACTTTAAAAAGGACAATATAAGGCAGCATCTAAATGTAGCAGCACGGAGGGGTGAGTAGTATTTTAACATTTGAAAAGCAGTTAAATACAACAAGTGCAGATGTACTTTAGTGTCTCCAGTTTTACTTCGTATTAAGATTCCTGAAGACCCATAAAAATCAGTTTGATTTGAAGAATACCTTTTTCTCCTATTGATTTGGTTTGCGTTGTCTCATGAGCTTTCTTTAGAAGGATTAATTAAGTCTAAGTAACATTTTCTCTCTGAATTTGTTTTTCCACAGTAAAACTCCCAGGCCTGAGAACTTACGTAGATCCGCATACATATGAGGATCCCAATCAAGCTGTGCATGAATTTGCCAAGGAACTGGATGCTTCTAATATATCCATTGATAAAGTAGTTGGAGCAGGTAGTGACTACCAGATATATTGAACTAAAGATACTTTTTTTGCTGTATATACTGTTTTAGATCTTTGGGTTTATACTTGTGACTGAAAAGAAAATTTTGTAAAGTCTTCAAATTAGTAGGTCCTATTTACAGCTGGTTTCAGTGCATGTGAAAAGTTAAGTGCACACAGTTCTATTTTTCTTTTTTTTCCTCAAAGAAAGCAGATAGCAAGGCAGCTTTTCAAAGGACACCAAGACCACCCTTGGATGCAGCACAGTTGAGAGTGAAAAAGATTGTTCAGCTTCACTTCTGTGCTTCTCTTTAAAATCTGTCAGCAAAGCACAGAAAATGTGCTTTGTGAAGATGTTTTCCTTTTTTTTTCCCTTAAAAGGACTGTTGACTATTATACCTTGAGTGAAACCACAAACTCATTTCATACCAGTCACGATGAATGCATCACACTGCAGTCACTTTTGGTCATTGGATTGATTTTGGTCACTGCTTTGCATTTGAATTATTGATTTAGGAAGAAGGGGTTGTCTGTCTGATAACTGATTTGTCTGAGCCATACAGATGCCATGGATTGTTGGGTTTACAGAAAACAAACTGGTGAAATGAGCAGATTTTGTAACAGAGGAGCCAGATTACAGAAAGTCTCATTACACTGAGACTGTGTTGCAACGCAACATATAGTCCTGATAGGTTGTGTGCCACTCCTTGAAGTGGCAGATTGTCTCATTGAGTCAGAAGATCATGAAGTGCTAGCTTTCCTGCTATATTAAAGCATTTGTGAGAAGTACTGTTGATTTTTAATCCATTGAAAAATGCCAATTATTTTGTTATTGAATTTTTTGCTTCTCTCTAAATATATGATTTGGATTAAAATCATGAAATGTGAGAGAGGCAGACTCACAGTGCACAGCAAAAGATTTTCAGTTGGAAAAGATGTAGAACCATACTACTGTGCTCAGTGCATCTCCCAAAACACTCAGCAAAAACAGAAACTGTTCATCCTCTCTTACCAAAGCTACTCAACTGTAGTTTGAAGTTAAGTTATTTTCTGGAAAGGTTGAATTTTTGTTCCTTGCTGGTTTTAATTTTGCCCCACAAGAGTGCACTGTTCTCCACCATCTTCACTCAAGGCAGCAAAGCTCTGCTTACTGCACATAATAGAGAATTAGTATAAGGATAGAGAAGGAGGTTATTGTAAAGTTAAGTCCAGGAACAGTGTATTTCCTTGCAAGACTTTCAGGAACCTTTGTTCACAAATGTAATCTTTCTAAATTTGGGCTATGTGCGGTATATGAATCTAGAAAACAAGTTGCTAAGAATAAGTGATATGTCATGTTTTACCATTCAATTGTTCTGATCTATTTTTAATCAAGATACACATTAGAATAAGAAGTGAACCAAAATTTGCCAAGTATGACCATTGTAAACGGAGTAAGAGTTTTCTGAGAAACTTCATAAAAGGAATATGTCCTAAAGGAGTATGGTGTTTTAAAAGTAAGTCTCTTTGCTCCATCCAGTGAAAATAACAGAAGATTCTGAGTTGGAAAGGACCCACAAGGATCATCAAGTCCAACTCTTAATTGAATGACCCATGTGGGGATTGAGCCTGGCATTATTAGCAGCATGCTGTAACCAACTGAGTGACAGAGGGTTCCTGTAGGTCCTCCACAATGAAGCTACATGGACTCAAGATATAATAATGCTATTTTTGGACACCATAACTCAGATTTCTGTAGCCTGAAGTACATATGGCATTCTAGTTAGCATTTCCTATTACCAGTTGGTAGAGATGCCAACAGGAAGAGCCAAGCAGGGAAGAACAGATGAAAATCAGGCTGTAGAGTGCTGGAAGCATCCAAAATGAGTTTGTTCCTTTACACTACTGTCACACTCAACTCGTACTAGCTTTTACATTCAGACTGAGTGGCTCTGAGGCAGCTTCTTCAGGAACACTTCTTTCCTCCCCAAAAAACAGAAAGGCATTTCCTGCCTCTTGCTTGAGTCAATGCCTTATTTGAGTGAATGACTTGGTCTTTTCCTGCCCTTGTCCTTTGTAACACAAGTGTGAATGAAATCATAAAAAGACAGTGATTTGAAAAGAAGGGATTCATTTAACTGTGTTGGAGTGTGACGTAAGTAATGAGACCTTCAAGTCAGGCAAGTAATCTTGATATTCAGAAGTACTTTTCCAAGTGGTTTTCACAGCTTTAGCAGAAGTCTCTGAGAATAGAGGGCAGCTTACATAGCTTTGAAGATATACACAAATGCAATAAGGAAATACTCTTGTCCAAAAGAACCACAAGAAAAACACAAGGGATTTTAGTAGGAGCCTAAACATAAGAAAATCGAGGTCAGGAGCCACTTTTTCAGATTTTTCTTTACAGTAATTTTTTTTAAATAACTCACTTGTTTTTATGGATTCAGTTCAGCAAATCACTTGAAGGAGTTTAAATACAATTGTATTGTAAAATAATACTACAGAAAGTACTTTCTTAATTTGGGGTAGATTTAAAGATGTACTTTGCTGAACAAGGAAGTAAGAATTTGCTTTTCTTTCCAAGCTGAACTATACTTGTAGCATAACATTGATCAAAGTATTTCAATAATTTAGGGCCTCCCTGTCCATGAACTTATTGGGAAAGTTTGCAGTGCTTCAGTGAGGATTAGAGCATCACCGATGTTCAGGAGGTTTATGAAACATTCAGCTCTGATGCCTCTCCAGCTCTGAGGGAGTTCTGTGCACAGCAGTACAATCAGGATTTAAAACACAGCAAAGGAAGCTGATTTCAGAGTCTTCCTTTACTGGTTCCCTGGTCCCCTAAATTTACAGCAAATGCCATTCACTGATGTACTAAGTAGCCCATTTAAAAAGAAATTAGGATCTCCTGCAGAGAAATCTTTATATCATGAACAGCGCTCCTAAGCAATACCTATTTGCCTTCCACATGTAAATAGACACATCAGTCTGCAGGGCAGGTTTATGTTTATGTGTGTAGCATAATTAAAAATAAACACCTCAGGAAGGCTTTATATGAAAAGCCATCATCCTCATCTCTTAAAATCAGTCCTTAGAAAGGGTCCAACCTTTTTTTCTTGAAGCATCCTCTGGTCTTGAAGTACTTGTGGCATCTGATTAATCACTCAAGTTCTAAACTGTCCAGCCATGGCTAAATGGGTTTAACTTTTCCTTCACAAAAGTTAAACCAATATCAGATATACAATTCTGGTTTTAAATGAAGGATTGATTGCTGGACTGCATGCTGAAATCATAGCTATTTTCTCCATTGACAGTAACTGAAGAACAGTTTTAAAAGGTTAGCTTGCTATAGCTTTTTGTACCATTAAAAAAATCAAGAAAATGGAATATGAAGCTGGACCCTACAAGATTTATTTCAAGCCTTTTTTCCCCCCTTCCTTCTGTTTTCAAGATGTTCTTTGGTCTTCCTTTTTTTGTGGAGCTCTAACAGTACTGGGCTGGGGTTGGTATTTGAACCGCAGCAGCATTTGCTCTTGATAAAGTATACTAGTATACTAGTCATTTTGGCTTTCAGAAGTTAAGTAACTTGGAACTGTACTGTCACTGGTAGAAACGCAGTTTAGTGTTCACAAGGATGCAGAACTATTCTGCCATTCTGATACTTCTTAATCAGTTAACACTCCTACTGCTGTCTCAAAGTGCATCAACAGAAGCAGAAGGGGAATTTTCTGATCTCATTTATTCATTCCTCTGCTCTGCAGTCACCTGGACATGCAGAGTAAATAAGTGACATTGTCCAGTTTGACAGCTGGGGAACCCAAGGATGATAATGTGAAGCAGTTTGGACAAAAGGCCCCTTTGGAGTGACGATCTGTGGCCTTCCAGTGAACACCACTTTTTAGGGGCTTTTGCTGAAGGCTAAGTCTTCATTCTTAAATCCCTGTGAAATAACTACCTTTCAGCTTTTGTCGCTTTTCCACTCTTTTTTCAGGGGAATTTGGAGAAGTGTGCAGTGGACGCCTAAAGCTGCCTTCTAAAAAGGAAATTTCAGTTGCTATCAAAACTCTGAAAGTTGGCTACACAGAAAAACAGAGGAGGGACTTCCTGGGGGAAGCAAGTATCATGGGACAGTTTGACCACCCCAATATCATCCGACTAGAAGGAGTCGTCACTAAAAGTAAGATATGATAGGGACATCTGTTTTGCATGGGAAGTGTCATGAGGTACCTCCAAACCTAAATCATTCTGTCATTTGCTGATCATTCAAAAAAACCCAGAAAAACACCCTAAATCTTTTTTTTTTTTTTTGCTCTGCAAACCCCTCCAGAAATGCTGATGTTATGACCATGTCAATGTGTACCAAACATCCTCCAAAAGAGATAACAGCAGAAACACACAGCTTGTCTTTTGCAATGTATATTTTATTTCCTCAGAAGTAGGAAAAACAAATTACCCATGTGAAAACACCCATGTGAAACCCACACTGATGGATCCAATGAGGAGTGGGGTTTGAGGCAATTGGCCACAGAGCAGCTGCACGACCTGCACTGTATTGCTGCTCTCAGGCTGCTGAGAACTTAGAAAAAAATTTAGAACTTACCCTGGCTTGGTGAGCTGGGGAGAATTGGGGAGTAAAAGTAGTCTGCTTGAAAAAAAATATAGCCAAGTGGAGGAAAAGGGATCATTTCTGAAGAACACAGAAACTCAATAATAAATTGACAGGTTTAATAAACTCCAAACCTACAAATTGCTACAAAACGGCCAAGAGGCTCTGGCTGATAACCTGGTAGGAGTTGTGGAGTCTGATGTGTTAAGGTTTCCTAAATACATTGAAGAGCTATGTTCTGCTCTCAGCTAAATCATTAGGTTTGTCATTAGCAGAAATTAATGAACAGCCTACCTGGGTGCAACAACTGGTACTAGGAAATTATTAAATGATTCCAAACCTTTTTCCTACATGGTTTTCATGCAGAGGAGAAGTACTCCATGTATATTCAATATGTACCAGTCATCATGGCTGGGCTTTGCGAACGAAGATTAAGGAAGGCTCTATCCACATTTGTTACAGGCACGCTGGTGGCTTATGAGGCCAATATGAGATAGACACGTCCGATTGCAAAAGGCACAGCAGAAAGACTCCTTAGATGGTATATTCCGCAAGACACGGTTCTTTCTGCGTTGAAGTATTAGGCTTTTAAAGATCCTAATGCTCCAGAATATAGACATCTTAGTAAAAATCTCAAAAAAAAAAAAGGCATGGGGCTTTAAGCTGTCAGTAGTAATATTGATTTTATTTCTGTGATTGTATAGATATGTTTACTTAAAGGCATTTCCTAAATATGCCTTTGGGTTTTTGTTAAGGGTTTGGTTGGTTGTTTTTTTTTAATTTGTTTGGTTCAAGGTTTCAAAAACATAGGTATGAAAGAATTTAATAGCCTACTGCAACAAAATATATAAAATAAAAACCCCACCAGTTTATGTCTAAAAGTAATTAGTGACAGGTATGTAAAACCCTATATGTTATGAAGATACATAATTATAATAATAATGACTTCTCTAGGTGTGATTCGTGAAAGTCTATTTTGCTGATTTAAATAACAAAGAAGTTATTCATTATCTTAGGTCTCACAGCCCTATTAGGAAAGGGCTGCCAGGTCTGCCTGTATAAATGAAGGTTACCTCCTGCTTTGTAATGGCACACGCTTTGCACAGTCAGAATAAGATTTGCAATCACGAAATCACTTGAAACACCAACATCACTCTGTACACAGCTGAGCTAAAATCTATTTTGTTACATTTTGTATTCCTGGAGCACTTGAGAAAATAATTTAATTGCTGTGCATGCAGGAATTTGTGCATTGTTCTTGAACGTGCATTACTAATTCTATCTGTATTCTGTATGAGTGACTATGAGTGAGTTTGCTACTCAGCTGTATTCACAGCAGAGTCCTGTCTGCTGGGGGGAGTCAGGTGTGCCAGCTGCCTATCACATCTATGTGTGGGACAGCGAGCTCTGAATATTCCCAAATGAAAAGCCTCAGGGATATACCACCCTCTCCAGACAGCTTCAGTACAGGAGTTGAGAAATCTGCTCTGGAGCTATTTGTCTCCATTTTGCTGCAAGTAATGTTAATAATTTAATTTCTTTAACATTCTGTGGGGTGATAGAAGGACAAGAAGCTTGTGGGATTTGAATTTGTTTTGGTTTGTTTTTTAAACAAACCAATATACTCTATGAATAAGTTAACAAGTGTTCATACTTTTTAATAATACCTATTAAATTGCACCTAAAAGGCATTAGTATATGTGCAGTCAGTAGAGAGCCTGTGGAGTATATGATGGTTCACTCTCAGCACAGGTAATGCATGATAAACAGGAGATATGACCTTTTCTTCATTAACCAAATTTTGCTTAACAGGTGCCCCTTAGTAATTCTTTTACTTTAGACACTAAATCACTTTTCACAGTAAACAGATCTTCTGAAGCAACTCCTGATGACTGCAATTGTCACAATCCCCCTAACAGGACCATTTAGTTTGAGGAGTCCTCAAACTGGGGTGGCTCCTTTGCTCCAGTGCAGAGTTGTTCCTCTGCTTCTCATGGATTTCAGTTCTACATCTTCCTGCTGCTGCCCTGGTCTCCTGGGCACACTGTAGGCCTTATTCTTAATAACTAGCATGCATGTTCTGCTTAGTTTACTAATAATTTACAGCAATTTGTAGCCTGTTAGTATAATAAACTTTGGCAACACTGTTGACACAACTTGTTATCATGTATAAAAGGCTCTCCTTTGATAAATGAATGCAGAATGTTCTTTTAAAGCTGTAGCATGTTGTTTCAGAGCATGTACTTCTTATTATGGGCACGTTTCCAACTTAGTGAGAGTGAAACCCTGTGCTTGGAGTGAGCAAGGCAGGAAGATGCTCCTGTAATAATTTGAAAGCTATATCTTCTTACTCTAATTTAAATCTTCTGATAAGTCTCATAAAATTGACTGAGTTTGTACAGAAACCAGGCAAATGTTTCCTGGTTTTGAGGTACATGGATTTATCATAGAAAGCTTTGGAGAGCCTCATTGGAAAGGTCCAGCAACATGTTCTGGGTGTTACCAGAAATCCCTTTGGGGTAACATTACACACAGACTGCAGGTTAGGGACTTTTGCTTGAAATATGCATTTCTTGCTAAGAAGAGAAAGCACAAACAGATTTTTTTTAATTATTATTATTTTTTTTAGCTTTTCCATTGTTAGATTTTTTATCTGTACCATCTCCTTTATAATTCAAGAATAATGTTTTGGGCAGAGTATTTCATACTAGTTAATTGATGACTGTCAATTACTCATTAGTGTGATTCCCACAGATATGACATATGTGTCATATGTCATATGTAAATGATATAACGCATTTGCACCACAGAAAGTAGATATTTGAACCTATTAATCCATGTAAAAGGGACAAAGAGTTGTCTTGCCATTTTATTAAGCTTATTCTTTGAAACTACTGTTTCTCTTTCAAGTATTTCCATCTGTAGAACCTGTATTTTTGAAAAACCAGCAGAAAAATGAGTTGTTACCATTTACTTTGCTTTGTTAATGACTTTCCTGTTTTTAGTTAAACTGGATACCTCTTTCAAGCATCATGCTGTTCAGTTTTAGGAGTTAAAATTTCACCATGACTGCTATACAATGTACAGGCCTTAATCATACTTTTATGGTCAGATGCCTCTTCCTGTATTATATGTGAAATAATAATTCATCTCCTTAAATGACTTCATGCCCTTACCCACCTCTCCCTCTTTACCACAAAGAGAAAATAAACAAAGCTTTAGAAAATATTATGAAATAATAAAATCTGTATGATGGTAAAATATTAACAGGGCAGTGACCTTTGTCTGTAAACTTCACCATAATCACATTAATTTTTGCATTCATTTTTCCCCAACTTATCAGAGTTTCATATAAGACCTTGGTTATGTTACAATATACTCCAGGATAGGAAGAATGGTTTCAAAAACTAATCTGAATATAGTTTTTAACGATATTGAAGTAATTTCAAGAACACAGGGCTGTTTCCTTAGAGCTTGCTGCTGCCCCGTGGATGCAGCATGTTCAACTCCCATGCGGGTTTGTGCTGTCAGTGATCCCACCACAGCACAAGCCTGGAAGGAGGGATGGCCCCAGTACTGGAAAATAATAATGTTACAGCTCTGCTTTTCTTCCCAGTGCCCTGTGTTTTGTTCTGCACTTTCCTTTTCATCTTTATCCCCACCCCAACATTTTCCTCAGCTCATGGTACTGAAGCTTCTCTTCAAAGCTGAAGCTTCCTCCTCAAAATATGGAAGGTAAATAGTTTAAACGTATTGTAAATACCCTCCTGAGGGAGAGGGGGTTTTGCTGTTGCCTCCATGGGCTCTATTTATTCTCTCTCTTACCTGAGGAATACATTTATTGTGCCCATGCAGCAGAGCAGTGTTCCATGGTCTTTGCCACCTGCATTGTGCAGACCAGGGCACCTTAAGAGAATATGTGACTCCCTCCACAGCAAGTGCCCAGTTCCCTTTCCAAAGGAACCTGGGGGCAAATGCATGGCAAGGAACAGCAATTCATTGTGTAAATTCAAGTTATGTGATGAATTATATTCAACAGTGATGGATAGGACACTGTATACGGAAAATGTAGGATGCTTCACTTTGTTTCTTGGGACCTGAGTTGCTAAAATTCCTATCAGTTTATGCTGAAATCACTGTATTTCTGTTGATGTCAGGGGAATCACAATTATGTTGTTTAGTTTACCCATACATCTTTTAATTTCTTTCTAAATGTAAAGTTATCCTTGGGGTTTGGAAGGTCTGAGAGCATTTCTGAAATGCTTGTTTTTACTGGTCATTATGTATTCATTTTAAATGCCTTACCCCTGTAATCTATTTGCAGGTAAACCAGTCATGATTGTTACTGAATATATGGAAAATGGTTCCTTGGACAGCTTCCTACGGGTAAGTGCAATAGAAAACTAAACGGTGCTGAACTGGCTCTTCTTCTGAACTTGTTCTGAAATTACTGCCACTCTGCTCTGATTCATCATCAGCTCTTGTTGCTTGATACTTCATTATTTTCATTTGGGTTGGTGTGTATTGTGATGTGCTCAGAAAGCCAGGTAGGAATCTTCAGGTCGATTTTGACTGCTTGCAGTAAGCATTATTAAAAAATAAAGACAATTTTGGTTTCACTGGTATGTCAAATCTATTAAAAATGAACAAAACAGAATAGCATTCTGACACACAAAAAGGAAAATTGTTTTTCTGAAGGCTGAATTACATCTCTAATGCACTTATGCTTATCTGTTGGCAGCCTCTATGTCTTTGCAAGTGATTTCCAAAATGAACGGATTTGTGGAAAATTTATCAGTAAACCGATAGTACTGAGTCAAAAGCTGTTTCCCTAAATATGAAAAGTTTAGCGAATAACCCCTTACCTGAGGATGTTAGATATGTTTAGCTAGCAAAGTTTATTGGCCTGTTTTCTTTCTCTAACCTTAGACAAACTAATAATCCTGTTGATTTATCTTTGTTTTCTGTCAAAGTTGGTAGGGAACCTAAAAAAATTTGAGCGCTCCCTGTGTCACCAAGATTTACTTGTGGCAAAACAAGAAGTGTAGAAGAAATGAAATCCCATCTGAGGGGAAACACTAGTTTAATTTTAATTTGTTAGGGCAAACTCAGCTGTGACTGGGAGACTGCTTTGGTTCTGCCACGGTTGAATGACATTATCCCCCAAATTCATAACATTGAACTAGACATTTAACCCCAAAAGGCGATACATTGTCAACCTTAGTTTCAGTATGTACTATATATGTTATGTTGTCCACTGGAGCATGTAAAATACATATAAATAATGTGTCAGTGTGGCTGAACGAAATATATCTGTGCTGAACTATATATATTTTGTTTAGGCTTAAAATCCTTGAAGAAAGCTCTGAGGAAAGCAGAATAATTTCTGACTGTACAGAACAGTTGTTCAGCTTGTTCATTCATTCGAGTGTGATTTTCTTTTTACTTCTGTTGTGTGGAAGCATAGATAAGAATCTTGTGACTCATTAATATCACAGGCAAATCAGGGCGTATAACCCTTTTAATAAATGCCTTTTGAAACTAGTTAGTTTGTTTTCCCCATTGCCATGGAAAGGCTCTCTGAACATCTGATTCTGTTCATGTTTAGAAACCTTTGACTTCTAGCTAAATCTTTTTCAGGGTCTGTATAAATTCTCTTGTGTTGGCTCTAAAAAAAAGGTATCATGACAGGGAGCTGCTAAGAGTCTTTTAAAATAATTAATTTCTTCATGAAGGGGAATTCTGAGAGACTCTTTAAGCATCTGCTGCATATATTTGTCCAATGTTTACAGTGCTAATATTGCCCCTAAGTATACTAATCAAAAACGAGATTAATGCAATCAGTCTTGCAGACTGATTCATGTGAGATCACTTCACATGGCAGAGCCAGCTCCTATGCATTTAGTAAAATTCTGGAAGCAGAAGAAGGAAGGGTTGGAGAGGTGCCCATGATGATACTTTTACAGTGCTGGGGAATTCATCTGAGAGCTGCGCTGTGACACACTGTTGTCCTATTGTCTATGTAACTATGTATCAATATCAAAGCTGGATGCTAACAAACAGATTAATAAAAGCTGGGAGATTTAAACCATGCACCTAGAAGTCGATGATTAGAAATATATGGTTTCTAGGAGAAGTCACAGTGTGTTTAATTTTTGTGTTCCTGAAGTTGAGGAAGAATTTAAGGAATTAGTTTAAAGTTAATGGAATTTGAAAGCCACTAACTCAGATCAGCATTTGCTTTTGTTAAAAAAAAAAAAAAATTCTTGTGTAGTAGAAAACATTCATTAGTCCATCGGGTAAGGCTGGGATTTTCACTGAAAATTCCTATGGCCTCTCAGGGAAGTTGGACATCTGTTTCTCTAATGTCCTGATGCTCCAGTCTCAGGAGCAAACACAACTTAGATTTATGTGCTGCTTTCACACATCTAGGTCCCATCTAGGAAGTTAAAATTCTGATGACAGCAAGAAGGGGAAAAATGATTTTTTATCTGAATTTCAAATCTGTCCCCTTCCCTCAGCTGCCTGGGAGATTATCCCCCTCAGCTCAACATGCTTGCACATGTGGCATTTAAATCACAACACCTGATCATGAGCTCTTCACTGGGGAGCTTCCAGGGTCTTTATCAAAAGTTCTGTGTGCAGAGGAACATGAGCAGTCTCTGAAATGACATTTCAAATGTTTTCCAGAAACATGATGCCCAGTTCACAGTCATCCAGCTAGTGGGCATGCTTCGAGGCATCGCATCTGGCATGAAATATTTGTCCGACATGGGTTATGTCCATCGAGATTTAGCTGCTCGTAATATCCTCATCAATAGTAACCTAGTGTGCAAAGTCTCAGATTTTGGTCTCTCTCGTGTGCTGGAAGATGACCCAGAAGCTGCTTACACCACAAGGGTGAGTTTCTGTGTTTCTTTATCCTTTTAAAATTCTTGTTGGTGGTGACAAAGGCTGAAATGTGATGGAGTCCCTGAGGCTGTGTTGGAGAGGCGAGAGACATTCAGTAAACCAGAAGTTCATCACAGCTATTTTTTATTTCATGTCTCAGAGAAGATAGAAGGCAAAAAATATAATTTCTGTTGGTAGACTACTTTTTTAAAGTATGCAAAATTCTTGGCTCAGCTGCTTCTTCTGGATGTGTAAAGGAGTGAACACCATAATTAAGGCCTAAGCAGGTTTGGCACCCAATAATCTAAAACTTCATGTGTGCTTTAAGCACATTTAGCTGCACTGCTGATTTAATTCTCACACAGTAAAAAAACAACCTACCCATCTAGTTTTTTTGTGTGCGTGTCTTCTATCATGATGAGACATATATGTGATTGGATCATACTGATATCACTGTTCTTCAAGGGTTTATCAGTTCTACCTGCTATTGTACCTCTAACTGAGTAAAAACTTGAGTAAAACAAAAAAATAAATCTTGCTTAACAATGTAATAAGCCTCCTGTACTGTCTCCTTCTTATATCATATATACAAAATGTTACCTGTCTTTTGGAGAGGTAGTGATATCAAGAAGACGACTTAGCTCTGTTTTATCTTTAGAGAAGCTTTTATCAGATAGGGGACTGTCCACCATGTAGTCTGCTGCTTTTTTCTTTTCTGAATTTTATCCTGTCTGAAAAACTCCCTGGAAGTTATAGTGTTAGCTTAGGAAAAGTTCAGGTAAGCCACAGTGTATTCTGAATACATTTTTGCTGCACCTCTGGTTTTCATCTGGATAACACTGCTGGTTTATTGTGGAAGGCTTTAGCTTTGTGTGCATGGATATTACACTGGGATATCTGATTGTCCCCTTTAATGCTATTGCAAGTGGGTTTTGTTAACTTTAGAAAAAAGGACATTAATATCCAGTATCTTAGTCAAGAATAATTTGCATTGCTCCTGGTAATCATGTCATCTTTACTGTACAAACCAGATTAGAGAGTACCAGCACAATCTTAATGTGGATTTTCTAGGGCTTCCTTCATTCCTGAACACTGACAGGAGCAATCAATTACTGTAGTAGTTTCATTGCTGTCTTCTTCATGACTGAAATAAAATAACCTGTGACAAATGAGTAAAGAAATCCTAGCTGTTTTCTTACACATTATATGTACATAAATTTATAGATAAATATTTATCCATCATACCTTCATAACTTACCAGGCATAAAGACTCTATTCTTTACTTGACCTTTCAGTGTTTTCTTTGACGTCTGATAAGCTTTGTCATGTTGTTAGTAATATGCAACATATAGCACTTTGGAAAACTGTCTGCAGAGATCTGTCATGGTTAATATAAAGAGGCATTAGTAGGAGAAAGCAGTTTTCATGCCCAGTATAGGTTCAACATTAATAAGTAAATATTCATGGAATGCAAGAATTCCTCAAGAGAAAATGACCTGTAGTCTAGGCAAAGGTGTATTGTTGTGTCAGATACTTGCCCGCTCTATTCTTAAAAACTCTTGTGGAAGTAGTGGGTGTTACTGTCCCCCAAAGTAAACAATTTTAAGTATAGTATTTTTAGTATTTATCTAGTCACAGATTTAACATCCTCCCTCAGGATGTACTAAGGCAACTACTCTGTGTCCTGCTACCGCTGCCATGGGCAGTAGATTGATCTCACCCTTAAAACACCTACTTAGATGCATGGAGGATGCTGTTCTCTTCACCCACATCTCTCCATTCTTTTATTTTCTAAACATTTTTTCCCAAACTTACTGTGCTTGCTGATCTCTTTCAGATTATTTTCAGTTTCACTACATTTTCCTTAAATGCGGTGCCCAAACAGGACACTAATCTGGCCCAGTACCAAGCACAGCATATTTATCTCATGTCACCTATTTCCTAAGCCTACCTGCCTCTTTGCAATTAGATAGTGAACTCAGATGGAAACAACTATTTTGTGAAGTGTAATCATCTGTGTTTAGTAAACTCCATCTGGCATTTATGGTGTATGTGCAAACTGCTGCAGGAAGACGCTCAGGTAATTAAAACCTTCAAATACAACCTAGTATAAATCTAATTTTCTTCAAAGGTAGTTGCTGTGAATATACCTCTACTATACCTATTCCTGGCTCTGTGAGAAAAACAAGGCTATTTGCTATTCATTTTTTGACCTAATTTCCTTTGAAGTGAATCTTATGTATGTGTCAAGCATTTTCATGGGGTATGTTTGATCCCCAGCTTAAGCAACTGGGGACCACAAGTGTGAAACAGAGCTTCACTCTACCAGCAGAAAGCTGAGTAGTTCATGTTCCTGCTGCTTAGTCATATCACGAAACATGGGACCATTTCCTAGGCTGCTCTTAGTGCATTTTGCAAGCCCTAATTATATGACAAAGCCAAGACAAAAATATTGACACTTTTTAAAACAATGACATCATCCCAAACTATTTCATGCCTTTAAAAATAAAGGATGACAACTACTTCAGAAGATCTTTGAAAAGACAAAAAAAAAAAATCTAAATTATAGATGTAATTTCAAACATTAAAGAGTTTGTATTATATTGATGGGTACAGATTTTTTTCCTCCCCTCCACCTTTTTCTACTCCGAGTTGTCCATTTACTATCAGTGGTAGTAGGCAAATTTACAGAGTTAACTGCAAAGATGGAGGGTTCATATATTCAGGCTCCTTTTCTACCCCAATTTTCCACCTGTAAATGTCAAAGCCTGAGAGTGATCCCATTGCTTTAATTCATAATTGCATGTGAGGATTGATCTACCCCCAAAAAGCCCAGTCAAGCCCCTCAGGCTTTCAATACACACCACTGACTGGGTGAAATTTTATGTTGTTCTGTTCTCAGAAGCAATGTCTGAAGCTTTGCATAAAGGAAATGAACATGTATCCTTTTATATATCAATACTTTATGTATCCCTTTGTATATCAATGTATAATCTGTGATATTCATGCTATTGTACGAGAAGTCTAAGGGACAACGCAAAGATCACAAGTGCATATGTGAAATTCAGGAAATCAGAAGTTGTAAGAAACTTTCCTACCTGACAGGGTCATTTTTTACCTCCTGAATTATTGTCACTGACAATACCACAAAAGACCTTTGGCAGCCTGGGGTCTGTCTGCTTACAGAAGCAAAGCCAGAAAAGAGAATCAGGCTGACTGACTGTCAGGATTTTTTTTTTTTACTGAGTCTTTGTGCCTGAGGGGATGTACTGTAATTATCTCCGTCCTCCATATCTATTCACTTTTAATTGAAAGGCCAAGATTGTATTAAAATTGTCATTGTCAAATTGATCTGTTTTATCCTTATTATTTTTAGATGTCTGTATGACAAGCGGGTGGACTAATGGCACAGCATGAAGTGGAAGTAAATTTAAGCTATCACACTTGTAGAGAGACTGTAATTATGTCTCCCAAAGACATAATATTTGGGTAATCAGTAGAGGAACTTTGCATAGGTAGCTACATCACTGGTGTTCATGGCATTTCAATGCAAAACACTGTCCAGTTATTACACTTGCATGGATAACTTCTCATTAAATGTAAATCACTTCTAAAAATACTGTGCTTGAATGGCAATTATTCCAGTAGCCTGTACCCCCAGCTAACAGTGCCAGAGTGAGGAGGGTACCACAGGGTACACACAAGTTCTTTCTGTTATGCAGAAATTATTGCAGCCAATGCTTGACAGAAATCTGCTGTGCTTTCCCTATATATGCAAACCCACTATAATACAGTCTGAATGTTTTGAAGGGTGTGACAGGAAAGTAAAGTCTCTTGCCTGATAAGCACAAGGGAGAGAAACAGTGCTCTGTTATCATCGACTACTCAAGGAGGAGATAATTTCAAGATAAAATAATCATTAGGAAGGAACTGACAAGTAGCATCAGATAATTTTCAGACATGTGAGAGGGTAAGTCAGACTCGTCTCACTCACCTGGAACTCTTGTTCTGTACCAGCAAGATATCTCCTGAACTATCCTATTTCCTGGCATTATGAATTAATGCCAGGCTTTTACCTTCAGGTTTTTCTGCAAAGTTCTTCTGGTTATTGTTAGAATCTATTTTTCTTGATTCTTCTCTCCCCAGGCCTGTGGCTTAGGTGCCTGTGGCAGTCACCCTGTAGCAGATTATAAATCAGAATATTGGAATGGGTTATGAAGTCCTGGAAACAGCTGCCTTGTGCTGGAGTGCCAGACGTGCTAGAAATAAATCGAGGACTTCATTGGCTTTAGATGAATTATGTTGAATAGGCAGATAATGCAGGAATCACAGCTCCATCTACAGAAGATAAAACTTCGGGTTATTGCTGGCTCACTGATTTCAAAGCCTGAGAGAGGTTCTCTGACCTAGACTGCCTGGGTTTCCGAGCTACAGTAACAAACTCCTACAATTTCTAATACTAAAGCCTTCTTTCTACTCAAATTCAGGCAGCTTAGTTGGCTTCATGATAAGCACAGCCTTAAAGGGAGACTATGACAAAAATATACACAACCTGTACTTATCTTCAGAAAATAATCACTAGATAAATTACAAGTATTAGCAGGTGTCATGATAGTAATTTAAATATTAGGAGACTGGGAAAAAGGGGAATAAAAAAATAAGAGACAAGGAAAGAAACAGATTTGGGAGCCTAGTTTTTCCAGCTCCAACTCTCTGGTCTAGGAGAAAGTGTTTGGTTTTATTTATGGGAAGGTAGATTATGTAAGATATCTTTGATATTGGTAAAGGATATTACAAATAATATACTGAATATATAGCAGAAAAATGGAAATGTTATATTTGTTCAAAGGAGTTGAGTATTTCTCAAAAATAGGGGAGAGAAATGCAAAGGCATTGTCCAATGCTGAATGATCATGGGTTTTGATTTTAAAGTAGAGTATATGAAATGCAGCAAGCACTACAATTTTCAAAGGAAACGGCAGTAGAAAATCATGCATTTAGTTTGATAAAACTCTTCAGATCTTCTGCATATATTGATATTTGGACACCTGCTAAAACATGAATGTTGCATAATCCTTTGGGGGCAATTGTTTTTTTGTTAAAATGCTTATTTGTCTAAAAAGTATTTATCAGACTTTTTTATTGTTGTTTTTAAATTATTGAAAAATAACCAAATATAAGATTGACATTTTTATGATAAATTTGAGAAGAATAGCAAAATAAAAGTTTTATACTCTACTCAGTGGCAGTTGATTTTTTTTAACTACATTTTAATACTCTTCTTATTTTTGTCTTGTTTATGGAAATGCTACATGTATCTGTTTGTATGGGATTACAACTGAGACCTAGCACAGAAAATTTGAAAGCCACTGACTCCTTGTAGTGGAGTCTGGGGTTGATGTACTTTCCTTTTTCACCAAAGCTAAACCAGAAGAACTTGGTTTCATGGAATTGGTAATCTTTCTGCAATAAAGCAGACCCAAAATGTTAGGAGACTAATTAATGTCATTTTTTTGTAAATGTGTTTCTTCAATTGCATAAATGACTTTTTACATAAGATTACAAAGGTAAAGACCTTTTATCAAATATGATATTTCCTGCCCTTGTCTAAAGCTCTCATATTCTAGCTCTGAGCACATTTTTGTGTGTGGTATCTGGCAATTATTTCTCTAGGGTTATGCAAGAAGGGCTTCATTTTTGTATCTTAACATGAAATTTAAAAAGTGAGCCTGAAGCCACCCATGGAAATTCAGTTTTTTGAGGAGCAATATTCTGAAAACTCCAAACTCAAGGCACCTTGGCCTGGCAGATGTGGTGGGGTTTTTGTGTAAATTTAGGATATGGCATCCCCCTAGAACTGACATTAATTATTGGAAATCAGAGTTCACTATTAGTATGTGTAGGAAAAAGGTTGAAAAAGAGCTACTGGTGTCTTTATCAGCCCAACATCTAAAACTGTAAGAGGATTTGTTGTGAAAACACTAGGATACAGGAGAGCTTCCCTTGTTTCTTGATTGTCCCTTGGACTCACTGAGGGACCCTGGACATTTGTAAAGCAAGTATAATATTTCTTATTAATACAGTCATTTTTATGTTCTTGGTAATGTTTTGGAGCAGCACTGAAAATGGTGAATAAATTTATAATGAATAGAAAATACAATGTACTTTTTGTGACTAAAGAACATCATCTAATAGCTCTTCATCTGGCTTCAGTGATAAAATGGTGGTTTCAAATACTGCCATTTATCTTCTCTGTTCTATTTGTTGGTCCACAAGTTCATGTCTCAATTCAGTGTTTACCAAATTTTAAGGGTTGAGTGTGAAATAAAGGTTTTCCTTTTGGTAGGGAGCCTGATAAATAGAATGGGATCCACAAAAACTGTATGCCAAGATAATTCCCTCCCTGAACTTTGCCAAGCCTCTAAGACATATATAGTGACATTTTGGGGGTCTAAATTGTGGCCTGAGTCAGGCCTGCCTGTGTTGCTTATACTTAATTTAATTTGGGCAATATTAGCCATGAAAATGAAGATGCTTAGGCTTCAGTGTATTTAGACTGCGTTTAGGTTTCTAATTAACACTAACAATGTCTGCATTGCTATTCTTAACCAAGCTAGTCCATATAAAGCTGGTGAGTGTATGGCTATCCTCAGTGCAGGTACACTTTATGGGAGTGTAGGCAAAGCATTAATATATTTAAATCTTTTTTTCTTGCTGGTTACTCAGTGAAAATTTGAGCACTACCTTCCCACACAGGTTATTGTGAGGATAGGTGTATGACTGTGGTATAATGGGGCTTGGAGAGGTACTGCAAATAGCTAGTCTAGTGTGAAATCTTCAGAATATATTCTGTACTTTTTGTGTACCCCTAGAACTGGAAACAACTTTAAACTCTTCCAGTTTTCTGTATTCAGATATATTCACTCCAGAATTTTCAGTCACAAGTTTTGCACCGCTATCTTTTAGAACTCAATTTTCTCATGTCTGACTCACAAATCAGTAGTGAAAACCTCTGCAAAAGCTGGCACCATTGGAAATTGTCTCTTTCCTCTAATTTTCATGTTCCAGAAACTCAGCCTGAGGTTGCTTGTGTACATTTTACTAATTTAACCTATGGCACCAAGTGGTGGCCATAACCAGGGAGAGATGTTCCCCCAAGTGCAGTGTTAATTGTACTGGTACCTTCAATTCTCTTCTTACATCATTTAATGATGGCTTGCTTCTCTTATGACTGTAAAAAGTGTTCAAAACCACTTCCTCAGGTGACATTTTTGCCCTCTTGTCTCTGCACAGATGACCCCATTCAAACCTGTCTTCCCATGACTGTCTCAGGCACCTTTGGAACAGGAAATTTGTGCCTGTGGTCACAGTGGCTGCCTTGTGCAATTGTAGGCTTGGCATTAGTGAAACAGAGCAGCACCATGGCCCCTCATTTTCCTTGAATGTCGCAGAAAACACGGGGTGAAAACACAGTGAAACTAAGCAGGTTCCACACCCACAGGGAATTCCCTTGGATGCCTTACAGGCAGCCAAATCCAGCCCTCTTGTGCTGTGCAAGAGGACCTGGGTTATAAACAAGGACCACATACCGGTTTTTCAATCTTTAATGTTGTATGACTGTAGTGCCAGTTTACAAACATTTTAGAACTTAAAACCAACCATACTTAGCTAACCATTTACTCTTACCTGTGCATATTATGCTACACATATATATATATGTAAGTGCATACGGTATGTATACTACACTATATATCTATAACTTCAGTAGATTTTGCAGTGTAGTGTATTTTATGCTCTAGATTGTCCCAGATGCTTTCATAACAAATGGCAGTAACACTTCCCAGCTTACACTGGTTTTTTTTACACCAGTATAATGATAATTGAGAATCTCAGAGATAAAATAATCAATCATGCAAAATCATATTCATTGCAGTGCTGTAGATTATTTTATTTTGTTCTGCTTCCAGGGGGGCAAGATTCCCATCCGATGGACATCCCCAGAAGCCATTGCCTATCGGAAGTTCACATCAGCCAGTGATGCCTGGAGCTATGGGATTGTTCTCTGGGAGGTGATGTCTTATGGAGAGAGACCATACTGGGAGATGTCCAACCAAGATGTAAGTCTATTGTTATCTGAGTGATGTTCTCAAATAAAGAATCAAGCTGTGAAGGGAACCGAAGCATAATGAAACCAGGTGGCTCTGAGGTTTTGATTGAATAAGATTTGGAGATGAAAATCTCCACTCCCTGGTCAACTAGAAGTTCATTAGAACTTAACAAAGAGCCACCATCTTTATAGCAGGGTATTTTGGAGCTCTGGTAGAGAATTTTATCACATTGGTGATTTTCTGTAGGATGATTCAAAGAATTCCACTGCAATGAGGTCATTACCTTTTACATTCCTTAGTTTATTGTTAGAAAGCCCTCCTAAATTTCTGTTGATCAGCTTTGGTTCCACTCATATAATATACTGGAGAAGTTTTCTGTAAATGTCAAATACACAGAATAAATTGCTCTTGGCACTTGTGAAAAAGAGAAGCAAAGCATTTCTACTAAGAGTTTAATGAAACCAAAATGCTTCTGGAAATAATCAATGGATAAAAAAGAGTAGAGTGATCTGATTAGACGACTTCCAATACAGGCTTCTTTGTTACATTAGTAAAACTGTCCAACCCTGCAATCCAAATGATTAATGGATCTCTCCCAGTATTTTTTAAAGAAGCATAACATTTCCCCAAATAAGATTTTTAATATATCTATTTTTGATTCTTTTTCTGTTGCTTTATTAATTTTAAATTTATTCCACGGGAGTTACTTATGAACCAAATTTTCTGAAGTGCAGTCATTAATACAAATAGATTCTCCAGGGAGCTGATATATATTGTTACTAGCCCTAAATTTAAAAAAAAAAAAAAAAGTCCATAACAGTTGTAGTCAGACATTTTCTGTAGTACTTTATATTAAACAAGGAAAAAGAGAAGAAAACTTTCTTTCAAATGAATGCACCTCTGGAATCCAGGTCTCTGCACAAAACAATGTGTTTCTATTAATTGGTCCTGAACATTTTCTCTATTGTTTGTGGAGATTAATGTATCCTGTTACATGGGCTGACATACCACTGGAATGCCTTTAAGAATATCACATTAAAATCAGAAACAGAAGGATTAACCTATTTATGTGCCTCTCCTTCATGGCTGCTTAAACCATAAACTGTTTTCCTATCCCTGTTCTGACTCAGAATAGTTTGTCCTGCTTTTCAGTTAACTGATCCAGATAAAAATGAAAGATTAACAGAATATGGCTTTGTCATTTTCTAGTTTGAATCCATTGGCATACGCCTGATCAAGAGGTGTTAGATTCTAGTGAAAAAAGCTTCTGAACAGTGTAAATTCTAAACTAGTCTTTTGTGTGTGTATGTGTCAATTTTTAAAAATTATAGACAGTCTAGACAAATTTTATCAGTTTGGGAAAATGATACAAGAATTGGGCTGGCACTGCCTAGTAGCACATGCATGGTTTTCCTTCAGGTAAGTTTTAACGATATTTTCTGGCCCTGTGAGGTCATCCCCAAGATCTTCTGTCTGTCAGTTCAGGATGTCCCCTGAGAGGGTAGGTTGATTTTCTGCAGGGTGGGTTGTTCATTCTGTTGGTGTTTTGGATGCACTGTCCACTGGAGAATGTGGGAAGTGTGTGCTGCTAAGGGTCATCGGTGGAGAGAAATTCAAGACCTTTTGAAGTTTGGCATACTTAAGCAAGCACCCACTAACTGCAGCTTTTGTTTATGGATTTAGTTCAACTGAGTGTGAGTTTTGGAGATCCTTTCTACACACTCACCTTCCTCAAAGTCACACACTGTATCTTAACTCCCCTTCCTCTATGTCTAATCTGCTGCCTGGTTTACTTTGCAGATAAACGAGAGGCATTGCGAGACGAGACAATTAGTGAATAAACACATTTGTTTAAACACAGAATGTCCACGTTAGTGCTCACAGAACTGATAAAAACAAGTCGGTGTAAGTGCCTTTAAGTTCTCAAAAACTTTTCTCCTTGTGCAGGTGATTAAGGCTGTGGATGAAGGGTACCGCCTGCCACCTCCCATGGACTGCCCAGCTGCCTTGTATCAGCTTATGCTGGACTGCTGGCAGAAAGACAGGAACAACAGACCCAAGTTTGAGCAGATTGTCAGCATCCTGGACAAGCTGATCCGTAATCCCAGCAGTCTGAAAATAATCACCAACGCGGCAGCAAGGTGACATATTACGTCTTACATTGCACGTACATAAACGTCTTTGATTTCTTCATTTTCCATGATTAGACTTTGTCCACTTTGTTTGCTGCCTCTTCAACTTTAAACTGTAGCTGTTTGTAATCCTGAAGGCTACAGTGCTTCCTGGCTGTTCCTTTGAGAGAAGGATTTGATGTTATCATTTTTATTATTGCTGTTATTTTTATTAATTATTTGCTATTGTTTATCCAATTTGTGAAAAGCTTTTATGCTAGAGATATGGAACCCATAGTAAGATTGGGCAGAGTTTTTTGGGAAAAATAGAGATGGCAGATTTGGCCATCATGGGATCTTCCTTTTCCTTCTGACCTTTCGTGGTGTTTTAAATGCTTTTAGTATTTCATAGGTTACAGCTGGCCATGTTCCTAGGTAACTTTCTTAGTTGGGTCCAAATACACTTTTATGCTTTTCTCTGACAAGTCACCTTAACTTTAATCACATTAATAATCTTTTTGTTTTCAGTAGGACTCACAGACATAAAAATGAACTTACTTTCCCTGCTAGATCAGTGTGTTAACAAGGAATTAACTTTCAACCTGTGCAGTATTCCTAATTGCATTAAAAACATTCATTTTTAATCCTGGTTTTTCAACACACTCTGGAACTTCACTCCAATGAGATGATGATTATCTCATTGAGAGCAAGCAGTTGAAGAGTGTGTTTACACCTAAGGGCATAATGAGGATGTAGTGAAAGAGGAGCTTTAGTTAAGTAGGGTTAAAGTGAGTTGCTTTATAAAATGTGCAAAATGTCATACTCTCACTGAAGTGATGTAAAAGATGTAAAATTGCCTCCTTTTCCCTGCCCCCTGGCTTTGTATTGCAGCCTGAGCTGGAGATTGACGATTATAATTACCTCCTTCTGCCACTCCAGAGATGAGAAAAAATATATACTGAGAGAATATGGCTTGCACACTAATTGTGTTTCAATAATTTGTTTGGTGAGCCTTTAACACATAGTAAACCAACATACTTATAGAAGCAATTATTTCTGTTACCTGGCAGGTAACAGAAAATGAAAACAACAAAAACAACACAACACATTTTGGGGATAGCAACCAAACTGTTTAAACACCATCTTCTCAGTCAAGTACATTCCTTCCAAGCATCTTGGCAAATGATTGGTACAAATATTTATTTTATAGGGATATACTGCATCATTCTGCTGAATAGGGGGGTTGGGAATCGTAACTATCTTGTTTTGGTTTGGAGATTTGATTGCAAAAACCAATACTGCATATTTAGTGTTCCAAACAGAAGCAAAATGTTCCCTGTTTACTGTCCTTCCAGTTACAGATTTGAACCACAACAGAGCTGAAAACAATGTTGAACCATAGTTTCCATTTACCTTGTTCATAGCCAGGAAAAGCTGATATCCTCTAGTGGAGACCAAAATCAGTCTGAGTGCTGTTTGCACCTGCTGGGGTCTGTGCAGGAGCTCCACAGTGTGATATTGTTCTCTCCTGCCTCCGTCTCACTCTCTTTGCTCCTATTTCATTATGTTCTTTATTGGCACAGCTCGCAGAGGCTCCACATCCATAGCACAATGCCATGGTCTCTGCTCATGGCCCAGCATGGGGAAGGAAGGAGACTGCTGACATGGCAGGGAACTTCTCACAGCTGCTTTAGCTGAGCTCTCAGTGAAGTGCTCCTTGTGGCAGACTGTTGCTTTCACCTTCATATGGAGCACATTTCTGAGGAGGGGAGCGTCAAAGGGGATTTTTATTCCTTCCTTCCGACTGCCTTTCCACTGTTACATCCCTACACATTCCCAAGCAGTGCAATCTCCCTTCCTGCAGCTTCTCACTCCCTGGTGACAGACAGGGGACTGTGGGGTGCAGATCATGGGCACATGGTTGATTCCAAGTGCTGCCCCTCTAGGAAGGACTTTACTGCAGTTCAGGGAACGTGTGGTCCATGACCTCTACATCTCACTCTTGCCCTGTCAGTGTCTGCAGGTCAACCTAGGCTATCCTTAAATACAATCACAAATGACAAATGAGGAGTGCTGGGCAGTCCTATGCACATTTGGATCACAACCATTGTCGCAATAGACTAATCTCAAACTTCAGACATGGCCAAGAAGCTGCATCCAGCTCTACACCCCATCCATGTCCTGCAGAAAGGCGCAGCTGGCAGGGAACATGCCCCCCTTCTGCAGCAGGAGCCAGTGGTGCTGCTGGCCAGGGACTGAGCACTGGAGGTTCAGCACTACTTTTTGACAGGCTGACAGAGAAAAATGAAGAAGAAAAATGAGAAGCCAGACTTAAAATGGGTTTGGGTCTTGCTGTAGCCTTGGGTACAGAAATATGTAACTGATACCAAAGGGTGGCAAGTCAGGGCAGCTCCTTGAGAAGGAGACATAGTGGGATTCTTGCCAATACTCTTCTGCTGTCAGCAACCAGAGAGGGACAGGCATCACTGCAGGGGTAAAGCACTCAGTGACTCAGCCCCCAGGGCTCAGGGGATTGCACCAGCTCAAATGGCTGCTCTCAGTTGTTATTTGAGGCTGTAGCACTCCCGTAGCACCTCTCCTCCTACCCATAATAAGCAATTAATCTAAATTATAGGGGTCCCAGCTCTCTTTTACCCATGTCTGTGGTGCTACTGGAGGAATGCTAGAGCTTTATGCCCACCATATGCTTGTAGGTGTTCAGAATGTATTTGGTCAAGGAAAATGTTTAACCTGACAACGTCTGTTGCAGATGCAAAACCTGTGTCTTCTTACAGATTTTAGAGCTCATGTTTGTTTAAAATACAGCACTGTTGTATCCTATTAAAAAACATATTGCTGGAGGTGCATACGATATCCCTGTCCTCTGGGTAAGTTGCTGTTAACTGACCTCAGCTGAAGGATGTGCTTGACTGTACATCTGATTCCAGGGCACGGCCCAGGCATGTCTTACACTAATACCTCATAGGAATAGAGGAGAGGAGTCAGAGCCTTCAATTCTCTACTTCCTTTTCAGTCTTTTCAGTTTTCTATCCCTTCAGGCCTCTCCATAGCATCTAATAATTTCTTGATACCCGAGGGGATGTTTTTTATCCTTATTGATCATCGCTTTGCAGACTGTTCTATGTGCTTTTGAACCTTACTTTGACAAAAGGGTTTTTTTAACCTCAGCATAGCAAACGTTTCATAATACCTTTCCTAGTGTTGTGTTTCATCTCAAATTCACATGAAAATTCCTTATTTTTATTCCTTGTAAAGTACAGAGTATGGCTGATTTCTTTCTTGCCTGTCAAAATTCACTTTTTAATCAGGTGGCCACCTTGAGCTCTATCTAACAAGACCATGGGCACATGGGTGTTTTGTGTCCCTCAGGCTGCCTGGAGTTCACCAGCTCTGTAAGGGACAGTAGGAACAGAAATGAGTAAAAATCCTGCGGTTTTCTAAAGCACAGTCTTATGATATTTTTATTTGATTTACGTCTTGCTGTTCTTTCCTGTTTTCTGAACATGATGTTCATTTTTCTAACAGAGTCCTTGGACATCTTTAGGGTGGAAGTGAGTTCATAATTCTTCCAGTTTTGATCAGTTTCATTATTTTTCTTCTCGAGCTTATTTTTTTTTAGTCCACTGTGCATTACTTCACATTTGTGAGCATTTCTTACAGATACAAAGCAGATGGAAAGTTTTTTTAACTCAAGCTGGAGAGTCAGAATCACTCCACCCACCTGCTGGCAAGTTGGTGAGGCTATGGTCTGAAAGGGCTTATTAGCTGTTGATTCATTTGTGTGGGGAAAAAATGTAACTTGAGTCATGCAACTGGAAATACTTTGTGTACAAATCTTAAATGGACTCATGAAATTTTATTTTTCATACTTTTTTCTTTCTTTTCTCTTTCATACTTTTTCACTTATATTTCTGATATAAATATATATGTGATGGCTCTCAAGAGTTACAATGTATATTATAATTTTATGTATATCAATCTTACATGGCAATTAAAAAAAATATTAAAACATAGTGTGTGATTACCAATATATTTAAAGCATTTCTGTATCCCAAAATGAATTAAGCCGTCAGAAGATAATGTGGTCTTGAGGTATAAGGGTAGTGATACAGAATTCAGGCAACTCAAATGCTGTGGCAGCTTTCCTTTAGTTTCTATGTGTGTTCACATCTGTCATGTCAGTGGGATTGAAGGCATTTAGTCTTCATGAACCCCACTATAAAACAGCAATAGCCCAGTTAATGCACAGCCTCTGCCAACAAAAAGCATTTGAAAAAAAACCTGAAAATTGTTTCTAATTCCAGCATGTGACTTTTAGAAATTCTGAATTTCTACCAGGCCTCTGATTGATTGCAAAACTGACACGGAATGTGCACCAAAAAAAACTCAACCTGTTCCTGTATTTGCTCTTGTTTCCATATAAGCTTTTGGTAAAGTCAAAGTCAGTGTCAAGTATTGCTGCTGTTGTTCTTTAAACTGCAAACACATATTTAGGAGAAGAGGAAAGAATTATATTGCCAAAAAGGGGGGAAAAGCACCTGAGAATTCAGGATATTTCTCTATTAAGTGTCTTTTTGTTTATTTCTAACTGTATTAATAGTTATGTCTAAATGCAGAATTGCAAGACTTTGTCTCATATATCAAATGCAGAAAATAAACAGCTGATAGTCTTCTGTGTAAAAAAAGATCATCATTTTTACAAGTTGCTCAGAGTTAACAGCTGGAGATTTCGTTACTTTCTTTGGATTTTCATGGAAAATGCTGCTTATTTCGCATTGCAGATTGAGGATCTCAGAGGCAGGAGATTTTAATGGGGCATTTATCGTTCAGTTCTTTAATTCTCAGTTCATATCTGAGCCCAAGTATCTGACATGCAATGTCATTGACACATCTTACTGCTTATGTGGAGTTCTGTAAAATCATCTGATGCTTTTTGTCCACTTATCAATAAGCTATAGGTAGTGTCACTTCAAATTTTGTGAACAGTTCTCAGTTTGGAAACACAAGTA